TCGTCCAAGTTGTCTGTAGTCCCCGCAAATGTTTCACATGGGCAATGCTGTTGTCCTCTTCCTTTGACATGCATGTGCCCCCTTATTTTTTGGGATGTGTTTCGGGAGGTTTCGATCCCCTCACCTACAGCAAATGCTGTATGGAGTTACTCTTGCCCTTGTTTTTTTACGTTTATTTTCCCTATTTCACGCTGCCACCCACCTGTCCCCCACCCGTCCCCCACCCGTCACACTAATCCACATACCTGGCTAGTGGGATCTCCCTCCAGATCTCATGCGGCCCTGCTTTGACTGATTTTTTTATTTCATTTTTAGGCCACACAACACCATCAACGGGCCCGCAGCCAACGAATGCCACACCGAAAATCGATTTTTTAATTTCTTTTCTCGTAAGAACAAAAAAACCAACAAGATCGGCTGGAAAAAATAAAATAAAGAAGGGTTAATTTCAAAACTATTGCTTTTTCGAAGTTTGGCAGCAAAAATGTCGTCCGTTCGAAGTTTCCTTTGCAAAAACAGAGGTTTCGTGGGTTCCCGTAGTTTGCCAGCAAAAATACCGCGTTTTGCCAAGTTTCCCAGCGAAGGACCCCTAGGCCTCTGGCCTCAAGGACTCAGGGACTCAGCGTTCCGGCCTCAGGCACTGGACACATTATTAGTCTGCAAAAACAAGGAGAGAGAGGAAAAAAAAAAGAGAAGGAAGAAAGATGGAGAGAGGTATAAAAACGACGACACATGTCCCGAACGCGACTTATATTAAAAAAAAAAAAAAAGCATAAAGCTCGGACATGGCGTTTGACCCTACCCGTTTCCCTACCCGTTTCACCTGGCCGCCAACCAGAATCTCGGCCGTGGCCATGCCCGAGATGCCTCGGCCACGTTTCTTTTTTTTTTTTTTTTTCGCGCCCGTGGCCGAGGCATCTCGGCCGTGGGCATACCCAGATGCGGCCTCGGCCGTGGCCGCGAAAAAAAAAAAAAAAAAAAAGCCACGTCAAAAAAAAAAAAAAAAAAGAGCTGAGTGCCTGAGGCCGGAGCGCTGAGTCCCTGAGGCCTGAGACCAAGGGGTCCTTTGCTGTGAAACTTGGCAAAACGCGGTATTTTTGCTGGCAAACTACGGGAACCCGATAAAGCTGCAACGAAACCTCTATTTTTGCAAAGGAAACTTCGAACTGACGACAGATCTTGCTGCCAAACTTCGAAAAAGCAATACTTTTGCTATTAATCCAATGAAAAAATATGGGCAGGTGCTCATGGACATCAGGCACAGAACTGTGCAAAAACAACACACCCCTTTCAGCCAAAAACAAAAGAAAAAAAACCTTTCCCGCTCGTCGTGAACTCTGTGATTAGTGACCGGACATAGTTCATGGACCCCGTGACGGCACTGGTGTCTGGGCATAGGCATGTATCCACCCACAGGTTGAGTGCCAGTGTGGCCGGACAAACATCCTAGTTGCATAAAGCATATCAATCTGCGCTTGCCACAAAAATCTGATTTACTGCCTTCATTTTTGCCTGTTGGAAACTCAACCCCCATGGCTGCATGTTACATCTTCGACTCACACGGGTCCTACCGGACCCGACTTAGGACCAGAGGGACACACCAGGGCCTAAAGGCCCGACCTTTGGGGTTACAGACCCTAAAGGCCTGACTTTGGACAGCCACCCATCGGGTAGGCCCAAACGACACTCCGTTTGGGCCTGGCGGCGCTCTTGAAGCTGCCGCCCGCCGATTGAGGCTGAACCGTCCATCTGGACGGTTCAGGGTCTGGCCTGGCCTCGCAGCATTGAGGCCAGACCAATGCCTACCGGTATAAGCACCGGTACCTGCCTCAGTAGGGGATAGGCCTACCGGAACTCTACCGGCACGGCATGGTCAGCACCAGTGTGCTGTTTGATGCGCTAAACTTAGCGCAGGGGCTGAAGCAGGAGCGCAGCATAGCGCAGCAGCGAGCGGAGCAGCAGCGGGTGACTGGCTAACACGGCGGTTCTCACCGCCTGAGGTATCGGGAGCTTGGAGGTTCTCTCCTCCTCTCCCTCGCCAGTCCCCTCTCTCTCTCTCTCTCCTCTTCTCCCTCGTTCTTCTTCTTCTTCCTCTTCTTCTTCTTCTTCTCCTTCTTTTTCAGATTGGAGACTATACTAGTTGGACAGAGATCAGAGTTGGATCTCGGTGATACGAGACTGTGGTACTTACCTGATTGGAGACTTGGAGATTGTTGAGGTTGATACTCGGCTGCACCACAGTTGGACACCGGTTACATCTGGACTCTGTTATCTCCGACATTGGTGACCTTTGGTCCTCGACATTTTGATCTTGTTATATGACATTCTGGACTACCATTTCGGAGACCTACCAGACTCTATCTTTGTGACCTATCGGTGTGATCTACCTCCCACCTCCCTCGTCTCTCCTCCCACCTTTCATCTGTGTATGTGTGTACGGGATCTGGGTATCGTCTATGAATGACCCAGACCCCACCATCGCATGATTGTATGTGTGTGGAGTGATGCCATGTAGGTCAGTTGGTGTGAGTCAGTCTATGTGAGTCAGTCCGTTCATTAAGCCTTCCGTTGCATANTGTGAGTCAGTCTATGTGAGTCAGTCCGTTCATTAAGCCTTCCGTTGCATATATGTTCATCCTACATTGGTTGATCCTTGGTTCTGCCCATACTCATTGGAGTATGTAACAGTTTTGGTATCCGAGCAGACCAAAACGGATCTGCTCACCAGGTAAGTCCGTTTAGAATTAGGTTATCATGTTTGATCTTCTAAATCGGCGCTGAAGTATTACCGTGATTCAAGTTGCAAATTTTTCTTCTTTCTCGGTATTCTGTAATTAGGCATTACCGCCATTTTCTTTTCTTTTCTTGATTCAGCATTCTGGATTACTCTTTCGGGTTCTGTTTCAAATCGGTATGCCATGTAAATCAGGTTCTGAGAAATTCCATCCGAGATGTGTAAAATCGGATTTCYGTTTTTAAAACGAAATTAAGAGAAGCAGTAGTCCGTTAATTCGGCATTCTGATCTCCATTTCGGTTTTCCGTTTTAATTCAGCATTCTGTGAAATCTGATATTTTGTTTTCCTACAAACGGTAGTTCCGTAATATTTCGTTATTGGAATTAGGGTTACGAAAAATTTCGGTTTTTTTTTAGAAGTGGTAAATTCCGAACGTTTTGAAACCGTAATTCCGGAAATTTCGCGGAAACGCGGAAAATTAAGGTTGGGGCCGAAATTTTCGCGGAAATATTTTTCGTTCATCTTCTTGAAGAAATTCCGAAAGACGGATTTAGCGTTTAAAAATCGGATTTTGACGGTGGGAATTCCCGGAATTTCACGTTTTGGAATTTCGAGCGTTTTTTTTCTCTACCGAAATTTCCGAAATTTGTTCTGCAAACTTATCTGTATATGACCCTTCAATTGCAACTTCCGGGCAGTTCACTCATTAACGGTGAACTCCCGGACTCAAATGATCTCAAAGAAACCTGATCATAACACCATTCAAATTCGTTAATATCATGATTGCAAGGATTGGGTATTGATTTATCTTTTGCCAAAATTAGCTATCGTTAAGAATTATTATTTCGTTATCATGAATTAATTTTACTGATTAAATCGTTATTAAATTCTTATTACGAATTTTGGCATGGTTTACGGGAAATTAATTTTTCTGTTTTGATTAGGTGTCTATAGTCCATCTGTGGGACAGGGGATTGTATGTATATTGCTTGATTGTTCTATCCCTGTTCCCACTCTCCCTACCCCCCGTGTTCTGTGATTACTGGAACTTCTCAAGTACCGCATTGGTTCAGACTGATGTCGACGGAACAGGACACCGGGGCACTGCCACGACGCAGTGCCAGAATCGCAGTTCGTGCCCGCCCTGCAGTACCTCCAAGGCCCAAAAGACTCAGCAGGCGCAAGACTCCAGCGACATCAAGTACGGCATTGACAGTACCAGACACCACCGGAGATCTGCCCGCATGCCCGGTCCGAGAGGCCAGAGCCTTTGGCTGATTATCGCAGGCGGCTACAGACATTCACAGACGCCGTAGACGCCGCCGAGGCTCAGCAGGCTGCAGCAGAGGCCGAACATCAGCGGCTGGCCAATGAGGCGGCAGCCGAAGCTCAGCGGACAGCTGATACTGACATAGCAGCACGAAACAGACGGGATGCCGCCAGCACGGAGTCCCTGATTGCTAGTGAGCTTCAGTGGACAACGACACTCCAAGATATGATCTTTGTGCCTACGGCAACGCAGGCGGATCCGACACCGGCGGAGGCAGAGAGAAGTAACCTGGCTAACTTGCTGCTGGGCATGATGAGAGGTATTATGTGGAATAATACACTGCTGCATTCACATATGCGCACGGACGCGACGCAGCGACAAACATACAAGAACGATATGACCGCGTTAACAACTGCTATCCGTACAGAGGCAACGCAGCAGCAGCAACAGCTTCATCTGTTGAATTCCACTATCACACGCGTCGACAGCATAGAGGCTAACGCCTCAGCAGGGCCAGGCTGCACGACAGACGCGACGAAGCAACTCAATGAGCGCATCGATCACGTCGTCACCATCATCGGCGACATAGGTGTTTTCAACGGACCGGACACGATCAGCAGCACGGTGGCCGCCATCAAGACGGATATCACCAAGCTACAGACGAGACCGGAMGCCGCTACAAAGACGTTCAAGATGCCGCACTTCGACATCAGCAAGTTNACATCAGCAAGTTTGACGATTACAACAAGTCGGACGCCTTGTCATGGTGGCAACGCTTCCTCACGGAAGCATCATGCCGCATGGTCCCGACGGACGACATGTTGAAGGCACTATATCTACAGCTGATTGGAGGAGCGCAGGGATGGATGAACCACCTAGCGGCTACACACAAGTGCACTATCGCCGAACTCCACACGCACATCACGTGGAAGGAGTTCGAGCAGCTATGGTTCACCCGGTTCATGGTCCGCAACGTCGTGAAGGCGGCCATGAATGAGGTGTACACATGTTCTCAAGGAAATATGCCAACTCGAGACTGGGCAACCAAGTGGCAGAAGATAGTGACCACGCCAGGATTCGATTTGAGTTTTCCAAATCAACGATCCGAGTTCTTCTCGCGATCATGCGCAGGATTGCGGTCGGCACTCGGTAATGAGTACGACTATACCACATTCCAGGCCATTCGGGATCGAGCGAACTTGGTCATCCAAACGGACGACAAGGCCGCTAACGAGAGACAATCCCAACCGCATTATGTGGCTAAGCAGGGCTATCAACGTCCGACACATAACAATGCCGTGATTTCCGAAAAAACAGACGATCTCCACGCTGCAGCAACATCCTCAAGTGATGGAGGAATTGTAGTAGCGCTCCTGCTGAAGCGTCCAAAGACAGTTCGGAAGAACAAGCCGACACAAGAGACAGCATCGACGGGAACTGGGCAGCAGCCATGGACGGCTTACAAGATAACCAAGGATGTCTATGAACTTCGTCAAAAGTACGGATATTGCCTTTGGTGCAACGGCGTCACTCATTTGACCGCACAATGCCCCGAAAAGGGCAAGGCACGCGTACCCCGTCCAGCAAACTCGGGAAACTGAGTTACGCAAGGAGAGGGGCGACGTCTCTCCTCACTCCGCTGGACCCGGTTGCCTTGCTAGCAATCGATGTCACTACCGGGGAGCATGCGTTAGTCGCTGATTCTCGTGCTACGTACAAGGATTATGCCGCCCAGCTGGTACCACCATTAGACCAGCCAAGCCACGTGCATGTAGATTGYGTATGCGCAGCCTGTACACCGTCGGCAAGTGATCCGGTCAGTTCGCCACTGCTTTCCAAGGACTCRACGGCGTGGTCAAGACTTGAGGAGCTTGACCCGCTCATGAGAGAGGACTTCGCTTGGATGCCTCTACCCTCAACCGGAACATTGCCAAGGCCGCATTGCAATGCCTTGATGGCAAATCTTCGCTCCTACTTGCACACTACAGTACCATCTCCGTCGACGGACGACGGGGTAGCGGTTGCCAATCTCCGCTCCTATCTTGCGAAGATCGACCGCGAGCACGCCACCCAAAGGTACGCCGAAACCGACGCACCTTTGCTCTATATCCGCATTCAAATCGGAAAGGCAACCTGTAGTGCCTTGATTGATTGCGGAGCATCTCGCAACTTTATGAGCCAAGCCTTTATGGCCCGCGCAGGTCCTTGCCCGCGCGTTCGAAGGAAGACGCAACCTACGCAAGTTACACTCGCGGACGGCCGCACGCAAAAGTCAATTGACCGATGCGTTGACGGCGTTCCGGT